TATACCATTTTTTATATTTATATTGACCCATCCAATAAATATTTTTTTTTGTATTTACCACTGCATGAACTCGAACACCAACGAATGCAACAAAGATGCTTAAACATTTATTGTTAAATAAATAATAATATTTATAACACTACATTATAATTACCTTACCTTAATAAAAAAAATTATAACAATACTCGTGGTTACAACCAATGTAATCCAAGAACTACAACCGTAATTAATTTATGTTTTAATTTAAAATATTTATAAATTATATTTAAATTCATGACTTTTTTAAAAAAACGTTTTTTTTATTTTTTTCGTTTATTTTATTATTCACGTTCTTGTAATTTATAATTATTCTTTTCAACAATCTCATCTCTAAATTTCAAACTTAACTTCTTCTTTTTTTAATTTCAAACCTATCTCACCTCTTCTAAAATGAGTAGATATGTTCGGCCGAACCCAAAAAAAAAAATCCGGAGATAAAGAGAAAACGGGATCGCGTAACATCGTGGGGTTGGGCCCCGCAATTATAACATACTGAGTTGGCCACGTGACTCGGGAAGATGAGGAAGGTGTGGTAGTAGGCACGGCGGACATTTTTAATCACGTGATACGATGCGTATTCCACGGGGATACTGACATCTGTTCGTTTCCAAAAACACATTTCTAAAAAATAATAATAAAACATCGGCCCCAATTATTTTAGGCGGATAAAAATAAATAAAGATAGACTACACAAATGATCATGACCGTGAGATATTATTTTATTAAATTTATCAATTATTAAAAAATATCATTTGACTATAAATAATTATTTTATTAAATATTTTGACTATTAAAAGTTATAAAATAGTTTTATAATTATTTACTATATTTCAAACTCATCTATTTTCATTTAAAATTTAACGACAGTCTAACATGAACGTTAATAATTTAACTAAGATATAATAGTCATTTTAGATTTTATCATATTTTAGTCAGCAGGTTAACGTATAACTTAGACTATCGTTAAATTTATAATGAAAAATAGACGAGTTTTGAACATAGTGAATAGCCATATGATTATTTTATAATTTTTAATAATTCAATAATTTAATAAAATAATATCTTATAGTCATTGACCATCTATATATTTTACTTGAAATTAAAAGAGTTTTATTATTCATCGATTGATTAATCATAAGTAAATTGTATCCTAAGACAAAGGAGAAAGAAGAAAACATTGTTAACTGATCCCTAAACGGATTCCTTTGCTAAGGGAATGTCCATGTTACGGGGGGAACTCTGCGTTAATAAAATCAAAGTTTTTCGTTAAAATATGTAATTAAAGACAACTTAGTAAGTGGGCCAAAAAAAAAAAAGGAGAAGACAATTTAAGTACTGTCCGGTTGCGTTGTTTGCGCGCTTACTTTTGCTTATTCCATAATTTTTTTTATTGATATTTAATTTATTAAATAAAATTGATAAGATGATTCATTATTTTTATTATAAAAATTAAAGCATGTATGTATACATGAACCTTATGTGCTGGCTCTTGAATTAGGGATCTTTATTTATTGTTTAAAAGTTGTTTACTTCATGTGATGTACTTCAATGGCCTTACGTAGTCGTCCATACTCGCATGCCCATAATAAATTATAAAAATTATATAGTTAATTGATTTTTGTATATATAATGTAAAATATTCCAATTTATGGTAATGGATAACCCTGCAATATAACATGTATATATAAAAACTATATAGTTAATTGTAATTATTAGCCTCGTAGTCAATGATACGTTAATCCCTTTGTACACCCATTCATTTACTCAAAGTCTATTAATCGAAAAGAGCATCAAAGGTCTCTTAACCTAAAAAAAATCACCTCGTATTATTTTTTTATTTTGATGTGATTCTTTAACACAAAATAAATTTAATGTGACATTTTGATTAATGTTTTTCGTTGTTGACTGTTACAGTACTGGTGTGACAGTTCACTGTACTGACGTAACGATCCATGGTACTGACATGACAATCCAGTTTAGTCAATTTGTTATATGATCAATTACGTTAATTTGTCACCCTAAACTTTCATGTTATCAATGTGAATTGCCAAGTCAGTACCATGAACTGTCACGTTAATATTGTAACGGTTAATGACAAAAAAACGTTGGTCAAAATGTCACATTTATTTATTTTATGAGTTAGAGAGTCACATTGAAAAAAATAATATGAATATTGCATTAGTCTTTTTTTTTAAATACACATACCTCTAATGTTTTTTTCTAATCTATTATGATTTAATCTAAAAAAACCTATAATACGATTTGTTGAATAAAAAATAAATTATTGTATTAGTATAATTATATATACTAGTTAAGATTTTGAGATTTAATATATCTTTGTTAAATATTTTTATAACTTAGCATTGATTATATTAAAAAATTATTTTTCATATAATTATGTAATATTTTTACATAAATTTATATATTATTATCTTTATTTTTTATTATTTTATGATAATTTACTCGTCTTTATTATTACAATAACTTCACTTTTTTTTCATAAATATCAAAAGCTTTGTTATACGAATACAAAAATATTGTTATTTATTTATTTTTATCGTCGGAAGCAAGAAGCGAAATGTGGTCGAGGAAAAATGCACGTGAGCGGAGTGGGTCAACTCACGTGGCCCACCCTATATCATCTGTGACGACAACCATGAAGATGACCGCACATCACTTTTTCACGTTAACAACAATCCCCCCTCATGCGCTCTGTTCTCCATTAATCATTAATACTTCTTTATTCGACAAATTAACCTCTAATCCCAAAGAAATTACATTAATTATGATTAATGCATAAATATAAATAAAAATAAAAATATATATTAAATACGGTTATGATATTTTAAAATAAGTGAAATTAAACTAGTTTTCATATAAATATTAATTAATGTTCACTTAATGGCTAGACTCGTGATTATATATATATATATATATATATATATATATATATATATTTAAATATTAATATTATAAAAGTTATATTATTTAATATTTTATTAGAGTAACAAAATAATTTTATTGATTAAAAGAATAATTATTATCTTTAGAAATTACGATTTCAAATAGGTTATAAAATATTTAAATGTTTATAATAAAATAATTAAATTTTTAAAAGCATTTTCACTTATAATCGTAATAAAAATATAAAAAATATTTTATTACGAGTATGTGATGTACCAACAACTCCCTAACAATTAAGTGCATTGCATGCGGCTTATTTTATTATTACTTTTTAACCCCATTATCTAAACGTTTTTACTTTTTTGTTGTCCCGGGTAGTTCTGTCATACGGTAATTTAATATATTATTAAGTAAAAACACTATTAAAAATATTTTTATTTTTTAATATTTTCGGTAAAATATTATTTAAAATATTATTTTTTTATCGAAAATATTAATTTTCCTATTTAAAAACCTGTAAAAATAATATTTTAGGTAGTACTCAATATTAATATTTTCGGTAAAAAAATAATATTTTAAATAACGTTTTACCGAAAATATTAAAAAAATAATATTTTTGATAACACATTTATTTAGTCGTATATTAAGTCTGTCATTAAACTTTATCGAGAGGTTAAATTCAAAGTATTCATTTCCCCGAGTAAATATAATATTTATATTTATAGTTAATAAGATAAATAAATTACATAATTACATCTAGTCAATTAGGATATGTACCTAACTAATTTGAAAAAAGAAAAAAATTTATTTTCGTTTGTATTTATAAATTATCCACACATTTTATTTTCTATCATTTTATTTAATAAATTTGTTAATCTTTTAATAATAAAGATAGTTGGTTTTTTTAACATATTTGTCTGTTTTTAAATATTTTAAAAAAATTAACATTATGTCTTTAAATAACATTCATTTGGCTATTTTAGTGATTTATCAATGATTTAGATTTTCAGACTAATTCTACACTGATAAATGTTTATAATCAATTTTAGATATATATATTTGACTCAAATTTGATGATTTATAATTCGATTGATCTTATACGATCATTTTTTTAATTTAAATTTTGAGTCAGATTTTTTGAAGGATAATGTTACGTTAGGTCAAGTGCATGTTTAAGGTCATAATATACCTAATCTGACCTAACTTGAAAATAATAGCATAATTAGCTTTATATATTTGAGGATAATTTCTATAATATCTATTTCTATAATTTTTAAATTAGGTCACCATTTTACCAAATAAATGATAAATATATATCATGCTAAGAGCATATTTTTATCATAAAAATTGAGTTGAGTTTTAAGTAAGGTGAAGTTTCCATAAACCCGAGTCAAGTGACGATGAAAGAATATTATACTAAAGCCAATTCAGTGAGTGAAAATTTAGTTTTACCCAATTCATGATTTTCTAAATCATCACAGTTAGATCGCATTTGAATTGTTATAAGACCAATGATTACCGTGTTATCATCGTTATATTCATTTTCATATCAATATTTATGGTATTTATCTTTTACTATTAATAATAAAGTTTGTTTGTGTTTTTAATATTTTTTGAGATTGTTTGATTAGTTTTTAACGCTTTTAATAAATGATTATATTTTTATTATGTAATGGTTAGTTTGCGTTCAATAATGGTTTGAGGAGGAATATTTAATTAATACGAGTAGTTTATTTTATTTTTTTAGGGATTTTCCATTTCAAAACTATAATGAAAACACAAGTATTTTTCATTATTAAATATTTACATATTATTTAATTACTTCTTATATAATAAATATTAGCGAGTATAAACTATGATCATATTAAAATATAAAGCATTTCTCATCAATTACGCATAATCAAAACTAATTAATATATAATAATTAGTTTGATAATAAATAAACTAAATTTCTTAATATTTTATCTAAATAAAATTATATATATTAAAAAGAAATGTGGTTTTGAAAATTACATACAAATCCATCTCCCCCAAACAAATCCCGTTTTTATTCCCTCTTCCTCCTATTTTATCCTCCTCCTCCTCCTCCTCCTCCTCCTCCAGTCCTCTTCCTCTATTGACTTCAAGTTCAAGGGAACTGGAAATTAAGTACGGTAAACCCTAAAACTTGAACGTTTCTACTCGAGTTATGAGATTTTTTGAGTTATGGATGGCTCGGTATATGTTTCCTGCTCTCTGCATCTCATCACTCAGCTAGATTTGGTTTCTGTTTCCGATCCGGTTGCTTGTTAATCTCGCCTGGTCTCATAACCTCTCCATGTTTACTTTGTTGAGGAGGAGAATTTTTTCCCGAACCTATCGGTAGAATTCGAAATTCCGGCTTCAAGCTCGTCGGAATTCATTGAAATCGCCGTAGAATTTTTGAATTTTAGCTTCCTGTAGATTTCATAGATTGTAATTATAGTTTCTGATCCAAAAGAAATCCGGTGCCGACTTGCCATCTTCGATGGAGCTCCCTCAATCCCGGCCTTTCGGAGCTGAAGGTAACATATATATTACTGCGTCGTTTTCGTTACTAGTATTATTATTTTAAGAGTGCAAATTCGAAAGAGATTAGTGTAGAAATATTTGCTTGATCGATATTTGTTGAAACTTAAAGAAATTATGAATTAGAAGGCCTTTTCAAATAAATTTTCTTCTGATAAACAGGAAGAAAACCAACGCATGACTTTCTGTCACTGTACAGTCATTCAAGTGTCCAACAAGATCCAAGGCCACCTTCTCAAGGTAATTTTTTAAAAATTTAATATCCCGAAAAAGAAATAGAAACAAGCAAATCGATTTTCTATTACTATTTGTTTTATTTATTTTCAATTGAGTTAATGAAATTTGATTTCTAATACTAAAAAAAAGTATTGCATTACATAAATTTGAAATGGGAGAAATAATAAAAAAAATAAGAAAAATAGAATAGAATATATTTTCAGTTATGTTTTAAAGTTTGTTTCGTGGTCATCTGTAGAGTTGTATTAGGGATCATGATTTAGAGTAGTGCACGTGACTATTTTTTCTCTACTCACGAATAATAGGTCCATGTATGAAATTAAATTTTAGGAAAATATGTAGAAAAATGAAAAAAATGAAAAAAATATGATGCTGATATTAAAACTTAATTTAAATAAGATATAAACTTTGATTATTTTAAATTTTATTTAATGCAAATTATTAATTTATTAAATATGATAATCATATATCAAAATACAAAATTCATACCGTAGGTGATTTGACAAATCATATGATTCACATCGCAACCGACCTGTCCCTGTATACGTTGCACGCGCGTTACGAGAAAAAAAAGAACTATTTTATTATAAAATGAATATTGAAATTTTGATAAAAAGTAATTATTGATCAAGTAGAATTGATTTAGATTGTATTTTATTAATTGAAATGTAATTATTGAATTTAATACATATAAATATCTATTAATTGAGAGCTTGAATAATTATTCAACACCAACCCAAACAGTTTGATGAGAATGACTTTCTCGTGAAGTTGATGAAGATGGAGTAGGTCAACAATTCTAAATTAATCCATTTTTTTCCTGTAATTTGAACTCCTCTTCTTTTCAATTATTAAATCTTAAGTGCTTAATATCATTTGTAGCACATCTCTTCTAGAAGACAAAGTAATCCGTGAAATTTAATTCCAATTATTATCATCGTCGTCATCGTTCATAGAATTACTAAAATATCATGTTTGGGTCTTATTATATATGAACTATAGAATAAGGTCTGTTTTGAGTCTAAATGTGCAGGTGCATACCTTAAGACTCATGATTTCTTACAACTTGAACAACAAGGGAATCAAAGTGCCAGGAAGGAAACAACAGTCGAGGCAGCGAGTGTTGAAAATCCACCGCCGCCGCCGTCGGTGGAACGTATTCTCCCCGGAGGGATTGGAACTTACAGTATAAGTCACATTTCCTATTTTAATCCTCGGGTTCCAAAGGCAGAGGGAACCGTATTCACTGTTGCTGAAGGAAGTAGTACGGAGAGAAACGACGAAAACTCGAACTGCAGTTCTTACACTGGAAGTGGTTTCGCTTTGTGGGAAGAATCTGCAGGAAAGAAGGGAAAGACAAGGAAGGAGAATGCCGGAGAAACATCCTTTGTAAGAGGTAAAAAGTTTCTTACTTCATATATATGCATTACTTTTCTACTAGTAGTGGTATTTCTTTTTGACATAGTCATGCATGAGTTAGGATCTAGTCACTGCTTGTATTAGTGCTTCTTCGATTTTAGAGTGAGTGTCATAAAAATATATGTTTGATACGATTATATTCGATTTATATCCCGTCGTATTTGCATATATATATGCTAATATAATGTTAAATATGTGTCCCTTGTATTTGCATGCACTGCTAGTTACATATGTTTCTAATTGTTGATGAATTTTATGTGTTCTAGTCATTTTGTTCCTTGTATGTGCCAAATCAGAATTAAGATTTCATATTCGTCAAAAAAGGGTGTTATGCTCGTTTACTTTATATAAGCTTTGGTGGCTACTTCTGGCAGAAGCGGCGGGAAAGGTGGGGCCGTGGGCCACGACGTCGTTGGACAAAGGGTCACAGTCGTCGACCAACAACCATCCCAAGAGTTTCAGCTGTCTCTCTTCCTCTCAGTTAGTCACTATTTGCTCGCGTTTATTTATTTATCTTATTTCTGGGTTATAAGTTAACCAAAAGGGTGAATTTGGGATCTTATTAACAGGCAGTCATCGAAGCAGAAAATGCAAAGCTTCATGGAAATGATAAAATCAGCAAAGGGTAACTCACTTGATGATGATTTTGAAGAAGATGAAGATTTTGTTCTCAAGAAAGAGAGTTCTACCTCCACCCATAATATAGGTAATCCGATCATCTTCCCTTTATATCTATATCTAAAACATTCATGTATCCATCACTTACTTTTAGATCTAAGTAATTAGGGGGTGTAAATGAACAAATGAGATTGTGTTTGTGTTCATTTGTTTATTTTTGAAGGTGTTTGTGTCTAGTTCATGCTCATTTGTTTATTTTCAAACCCATTCGGTTCGTTTAACGTTCACGAACATATTCGCTTGTATTTTCACCAAAATGTTAATCATAGTAAACTTGGATAAAAATGCAATGTGTTTTTTTTTCTTCTGATAGTAATTAGATCTCCTAATATTATTTTTACAGGAGAATTGAAAGTGAAAGTGGATGGAAAAAGTGCACCTGATCAGAAGGCCAACACGCCGAGGTCGAAACATTCTGCTACCGAGCAACGGAGGAGGAGTAAAATTAACAACAGGCAAGCCTAACACTAACCGGCTTCACATTTTTTGGATTTTGATATTACAAATTTCACCATTACATACTAAAATCTAGCTACTCTTCTGCAGATTTCAGATGTTGAAAAATGTCATTCCAAATAGTGACCAAAAGAGAGATAAAGCCTCGCTCTTATTAGAGGTACATAGATCCCTTGTAATAGTTATTGTTTTCTGGATCTTCGATTTCGAAGTTTTAACACCATGTTTGTTCGATTCGATCTTTCCATAGGTTATTGAGTACATTCAGTTTTTACAAGAAAAAGTAAACAAGTATGAAGGATCATATCAAGGATGGAGCAGTGCTCCATCAAAGTTGATACCATGGGTAAATTCTATATTTGGCTCTATTAGCTAAGAATTGCACATCCACTTTATGTTACTTAGGTTTGAGTGAGTTTCGGATATGAGCATGTGTCTGACCATCTGAAAATATATCGACGTTGGAGCAAACATAGCACAGATGATTTTGTTTTGGTGATGTAATTTTCGAGTATTGGTATTTTTTCAATGACTGACCGATCATACACCTCAACTGGAACAGAGAAGCAACCAGAGGCCTACAGAAAATTACGCTGATCAGTCTCGAGCCATAAACGGTGTGTCTGCTCCTTCTGTAGTGTTTCCCGCAAAGTTGGATGAAGGAAACAACACTGTCACCCCTACCATGCATGAAAGTGCAGAGAACCCAATCGAACCTCCTAATACGAGCAGAGCTACTACAACTACATTCAGAGCAATGGACCTTAGCCCGGGAATGATGGATAAAACAATTCCCTTTCCCGTGTCACTACAGCCAAACTTCTTCAACTCTGCTCATAACACCGTTCCAGCAACTCAGATTGCACCTAGGTTGCCATCTGATGCAGAAAACAGTGTATCTCAGCCTCAAACTATACCGTGTCATACCAGATCATGTACTACTAACGGTTCTCTTCCTAACGAGAAGCCGAAAGAACAAGAGCTGACAATCGAAGGAGGAACGATTAGCATCTCATGTGCATATTCGCAACAGTGAGTTTCTTTTTCACGCATCTCTTCTGTTAAATGATTTGGAAACTATCATGGTGTCTTGTCCAATGCATACAGAATGGAGATCCTCAACTGAAAAACACATTTAGAACGTATATAGATCAAGCTTCCCCTTCCCATTTCATAATGCACCATGCTCTAAGCATATTGGCCTCTATTTCTGCTCCAAATTTTCTCGGCGTACTTCTGTTTGACACATATTCGGATATGTTATTTGTCTCTGTTTGTACAGGTTGTTGAGTACACTAACACAAGCTCTACAAACTTCTGGATTAGATTTGTCACATGCCAGCCTCTCGGTGCAAATTGAGCTTGGGAAGCGATCGAACAGTCAACCGACGGCTCCTGCGTCCACTCTTAAGGTTGTCAGCCATTGCTACTACAAATTTTACATTTTTTAACATCAATTTTTAGCATAATTACTTTGATATCATCTCGGAAAACACCACTAAATCCGGCCTAAACTTTCACTGTTTTGCTATTTTTGCTCTTAGGACACGGCGGCTCCCTCCATAAATCCGGGGAAGACACGCCCTAGAGTTGGATGGGGTGAGGATTCTGAACAACCTCTAAAGAAGAAGCTTAAAACATGAACATTTCTAGCTTGACAAGTTTACAATATTCTTTATTATTATAATTTTCATTACTATTATTAATCTACCTCGGTAATTAACCGACTAATAAATCGGATATCGATGATTATATTAAAAGATAGATTAATTATTCTTTGGCGGGCTACTCTGCCCTTGCTCAAGGATTGTGCACTCGCCTAATCAATCAGTCGTCAAGATAAAAGATCTGTAGTGTACATGTTACCTTGATTCAGATGGTAAGTGTCCAATACTAATATGTATACAATAAGGGTATTCAATTTTATTTTTATTTTTATCTTTTTTATAATTTGAATAAATATCTGAATATGAGCCGCATACGAATATTGATATTATACGCATAGAATTCCCATTGAAACATGTTACTAATATATATAATTTATCGTAATTCGTTGTATGGATGTTGAGAAGCTGCTGGTTTCTTTGAAGGCTTCCACCATCTCAAGTTTCATGTTATTATTATTATTTGTCAAACATGATATTTTAGTGAGATTCAGCTCTTACCGGAAACCATATGCCTCAAAATCTCTTGACTGCAAAAATTTTACTATATGTAAATATTAAGTTTTAATTTTTTATTTAATTTATTAATACATTATTTAAATTAAATTTCGAGAGATTTATTATAATTAACAACCTTTCTAATCTAATATGTTTAATTTACAATCGTTAACTTGTTTCAGAATTTAGTATTTTGTCTCAACAAATTGACTAATTATTAGTTGTTATTTTATATTAGTGATATTATTTATTTAGATTTTTTTGATATATTGACAGTGCATACACTCTACAAATGTATTTGTTCGAATTCAAGATTTCTTGTAGCTGTTCGAATTCAAGACTTGTAAAGAGTACAATCTTTCTTTTACCATTAAAAAACATTTGACTATTTATTAATTCAGATTTATTAATTAAGATTTATTAATTATTATCCTTTGGCACTTTACTTGCAAAATTCTAAGATTGATTATAATGAAAAATGATTTAGACTAAGTAAATTAAACGCTGCAATTTTAGATTGGGATGTTAGGTGAGAAAGCAGAATAATATTGGAAAACATAAACGTCATCGTTAGGCCAACCCGTCCTTTCGTAGTAAAATATAAAGTTGTCTTTAATTTGTTATTATTTATAATATTTAAGATAATATAAATTTAAGGATCAAATACATGGTCATTCGATTATAAGAGGTTGTTTTTTTTTAAGTCTGAATGATCACTCGATTATTAATTGCGTTCTAAACTCGTCTTTTTTCGTTAAAAATGATGACAATTTGAGTTGGACATTAACCTGCTGATTGATATAATATATAATTTGATCTCATAATTAAAGATGGACATAAGATTTTATGTTGGGGCGAACTTGAACTTATAAAAGTTATGGGATGGCAAACTTGAATTTATAAAATTTTAAGGGGCGAAAGTATATTTTCAATAGAAAATATATAAAAAAAATCAAAAATATATGGTAGTTTTAAAATTTTAAAGGGCGACTGACCCCGCTTGAATCCATCCTTGCTCATAATCTAAAATGACTATCATATCACAGTTAATAGGTAAAGCTCAACTCAAATTGTCATCATTTTTAACAAAAAAAAATGAGTTTAAAACATAATGAATAGTCGAGATACCATTTTGTAATTTTTAATAGTCAGTGACTCGAAAGAACAACATCTTATAATTAGGAGATCATTTTAATTAGGGGACTCAATAAAACAATACCTATAGTCAGGGACCATTTATATACTTTATCCTAAATTTAATTGTGTTTAAATATATATTAAATTTTAATTTAAAAGATCCATTATATAAAAAGTAAAATTTGTTTTTTTTAAAAATGTAAAAAATTAAAATCATTTTAATATAATATAGATTAATTGCATGGAACGAACAAAGTGCTAAGGTGCAATCACATTCTTGTAAAGTTAATGAATTTTACATTGTAAATAGATTTTATACCATATATATATATATATATATATATATATATATATATATAGACACGTGTACATATATATGCTATAATCTAAGTAGAACGTTTAGAAAAGCCTTGTTAATGCAAGATGAAGTATAAGGGACTAACCTTCCATGAATCCGGAGCCTCCATAATCCAAATATATACTTGCATTCTTGTGTAGAAACACCTTTTCATCTGTACTGATATTACCCTATAATGGCACTGCACCTCTTCTATACACGCTCAGCATTATTTTCATGTACTTAAAATCTGTGTGCTCCATCGGCCTCGCAAAGCCGTGTCGAGGTTCCTTCGAGCTCTTCCGTCCCCGATCTTCTCCACAACCGCCTCCTTTGAAGGAAAACCTTCATTGATGTCATTCTCGTGGAGAGAAACTACCTTTAAGTTTCAGGTATGATGCACTCTAGAAAAAGAAAACACCCGTAAATGTAACTTATCCCTGGAGAGAGAGATCACGAGCTACTTAGTCGACCGTATTGTTGTCGCGAGCATTCTTCTGAATTCGCATACAAGTAATCCTCTTCAGTATTACAAATCCCACGAGAGAGGGATCACGAGCTACTTAGTTGACCATATTGTTGTCGCAGGCATTCTTCTGGATTGTAATAGAAGTAATCCTCTTCTTTGGGCCTGTCGGGGATCACCGACCTTTTCGTCGGTTGCCCCTTGCGATTTTCATGAGATTTCTTCACGGCATCCGAGAATTCGTCCCAACTTAGAGATCCGTTATTGTACTGATCTATCAAATCTACCAAAAGCCTTCTGTCCAACAAAATTGTCTGCTTGAACCCCAGATGCCTGTAGGAGCATTCACCACTAAATTGTGACAGTTACAGAAAATAGCTTCGGCTATGAACAACAAGAACATACTCTATAACTATAATCATTCGAGGGCGGAAAACCCGTAGAAAAAGCATTCTTAAAAATGGTTAGTCTTAGTTCATGCTTCAACAATATCAAACACAAACAATATCATATTCATAAATCTAAGAACAAAATAGGCGGAAAAAGAAGAACGAAAAAGTTTGGCTATGATTTCGAGCTAGAAACAAACTATTATCCCTTTCTAATGCTAGATATAAAAATTGATATATTCAAACGAAGTTGAAGTTAGACTTTCCAAATTACTCGTCTCCTTTGACAAACAAATGAGCATCGAATCATTTAATAATTGCAAGAAAACCTCTCTGAACATACTAAGAGCAAAGCAATACCTGCGATGGCCTTGAACAACTTTAGCCATGTTTCCATCATACGTAGGAATAAAAATATCACTCTCCAATGAAACAAGATAATCTAATGCAGCCATCTGGGATGAATGATTTTGAAAAAAAACAAAGGTCCGACGGCTCCAACTGAGTCTCCTTTCTAACCTGTTTTAACAAGCGAAAGGCAAATTATTGATACGTGACCAGGGAAAAACAAGCAAGTTTGTTGAATTTTTAGTTACATACCAATTTTGGATAAGCAGCAGCAAGATCTGCCAATCTCCTCTTTCCACCGTATATTTCCCCAGCTGCAATATAGATTTGGTAACTATTATCAATGTCCAGCGCCCTCAAAATAAGGGTGGTTTCCTCAGGCGTCAAGGGGCACAAACCATATTTCCTTTTCAAGTCCGAATTTATTATTTTTTCTTTCCACCAGGGATAAGCATATCTGCCAAAATGACAGTGTGATGAGTGAGATTAAAGTTTAAATTTAGGCCTCTGGGTCAGTAAATTGCCAAAGATGTATAAACAGCTCACCTCATTCTTGTCAACTCGTCCACCTCTTCATCATTGCAACCTTGGTTACAGCCAGAGAAGGCTAACATATCCATTTCATATAGAAGGTGAAGTACTATGAAAGGTCCATTTTGCCTCAGAAGCTTAACAACTCGTTTACCTAACTCCTCAATCTGAGGAGTGAATCTTAAAGCATTAAAATTTACACGACATCGCAGCTTCTGAACATCTAAACTCTGTCCATTGTTGGCAAGTCGAGCATCAGTTCTATTCAAATGTACAACTTTATACTTCCGTATCAGAGGAAGAATCTGCACGAATAGATGCATACGAATTTAGAAGTCATATTAGGAAGTAAAAGACTGGGAAAATATAAGAACGTTTACAGAAGGGAAGAAAGAACCAAGCTATGTTATAGTATGCCTACAAAGTTCAAGCTGAATAAATGACCCGTAAATGACAAAGAATTAACCTGGTTATGATAGTAGGACAATTCCGACCAGCTAATTGGCGGCATCGAATACACAATCCTCATTTCCACTCTCCTCTTAAGCCTAGGAGGCAACTCCTTTAATATCCAAACCTCATCTCTCAGTGATGTAATGAAATGATTCACATCAAATATATCTTGAAATTCACTGGCATGCCAAGTAAAGAACATTTAGAAATAAGTAAGAGCTATGAGCCGAGTTCAAAAAAATTCCAGAAATATATTTTAGAACATCCCTTCAAAAGCTATAAATCCAGTATCTTCAATGATATGAACAAAGCTTAGTTAACACACCTGGGATCAGCCCAGAAGGATATTTTATCCAGCTCCGGGACTATAAGCGTGACATTCAAATATCTTGCAATGGTAACCATGTCACAAATCTGTCAAGCAAATCCAAAAAAAAAAACAGAAGACAGACATCAATTTCCACATAGATTTACACCACAAAAACAACTGATGAACTTAGACAATCTAGAAAGAAACTAAAAGGGGGGAAAACCATGTTTAGTGTAAGTTGTTAGAAGACTCACTGCTGCTCGCATTTGATTGAGACCTCCATTACATGAAACCATCAAGTATCCATTGTTCTTATAAACCCCTACAGTCAAGAAATACAAGCATCATATCATTTTAAGATCTAAATTCCATGACCAGAAATTTTTACAGCACGTACTAATGATCCCTGAAACTTGAATGAAAAACAAGAATGCATGTAAAGACAACAATTATCTGCATAAAAGTGAATCCCATATGTAAAAAGCAACTGAAAGAAGATATCGAATTTCAAGCAAACTTTGTCCAAAACATGTAAGAAGACCATATAATTCGAGAAAACTAAGACACTTGATC